CAATGAAAAAATCCTTTCAAGGCTTCGGCTTAGGCTTGGACTTATGCTCCCGCTAGCACCAAGCCCTTAACCGCTTCTGCAAACAGCGGGCTGAAATAGAAAAAATGATGGCGATCCGCTCTTTTTCATTCCTATTCAGCCCCATTCCAACCCATCGCCGGGAGCAGCAGCTCACTAGCAATTCCCGGTTTTTCCTTGCATGTTCTGCATTAATAAATCCTCAACCCCCCGGGGCGAGGCCATTCCAACCCGGCGGCCGATACACACGCCAGCTAGGCCCTCTCCGTCCTTGGTCACGCCCCCTTCCGGCATTCATCCGGCGGCTCCACGACACTCCTTTTTACGGCTTTGTTTTCAGCGAATTCGGCGATTTTCGGGGGTTATTTTGGGTTTTGCAGGGCTGTTTGAGGGCCCTCCAGTTTTGGAGCTGCGGGCTGGAGAAGAGGATTTCGTGGGATCCGAGCATTTTAGGCAGTTCTTAAGATTTTGAGGTTACACCAAAAAATCAAAAACAAATTACAATATTTTCTGCATTGTACACATTTGTCTTCCTCATTTACAGACTATAGCGATCGTTTCAGTATCCAAGAACTACTCAGAAAATGTGAATGTCTGAAGCGCACTTTAACTAATTGAAAAATGGCAATTTATTCTCGTCTAATCTCCATCCTCGTCTTTTCTTGCTATGCGGAAGTCCTCGGGCTTAAGCCCCCCAATTCTCCTCAACGCAGGTAGGCCCATCTTTGCCAAAAAACAATCCTCTGGAGGTGAGATCCTGGGAATTCGTCTTATCTTTTTTTTCAGCTCCAACTCCTGCGAAATACGCTATGGGAATTCGGGACCCTCGACTTTGAATTCTACTTCCCGAACAAGAAGCCAGCCGCTGATGAGGTATGTCGAAAATTAGATATTTTCCGTAATAATCCATTTTACAGGTTTTTGCGGCATTGGTCGACTCGGAGAAGCTTTTGCCGCTAATTGAAATAAGGCGCCAGGGCGACAAGGTTCGTACGGATACAATTTCTTTCTGTTGCTTATGAGGTGTCACTCTCCTTTTTGCTGATCCTTGGCCTTGGTCGCGCTGTGATAGTTTTAAAAAAAGGGGGCAGGTTTTGTAGTAAATAACCGGCCGTAGGGCACGCGCCACAAGAAATTGCTAATCCTATCAGCGGAAGGCCATCGTTGTGGGATAATCCAAATAGATTGGGCGGATTTTTTTTTAACCTTACCTTGAGAGATATTTACCTCATCAAGGGCTAGAAAAATTAATGGTTTTCGGTTTTCGAAAGAATAGCTGGGCTTGGACAAAAAAAATTCATAAAAGCTATACCAACTTTTTATCAGAAATTTTTAAGATGGCATTTTGTAAATTCCTGACTTTAAGACCCCCAAATTGATGAAAATTTGATCTAGGCGCTTTATTTCATCGGGTTCTTGCTAAAAACCTTTAGAAAAGAGCACGCGCGTGATTTTTTTGTATCATGCAAGAAAAGTAGCGTTCACATATCAAGGGCTCAGTATCTCTCTCTTTCTCCTCTCTCTCTCTCTCTGTCTCTCTCTCGCTCTCTTTCGCTCCTGCTCCTATCTCTCTTTCTCTGAATGGCTCACGGCACAAACCCTTTTGAAAAGTTTAAAAATCCCCTTATTTTGCCCTCCTTTCGATCCACTCCTTCTCCCCCCAGCTTTCCCACCCTTTCCGCTAGAGGGCCCGCGCCGAAAATAAGTTGTCGGCTTACTTGACGCACGTTGAGAACAAGGCGAGGATGAGAGGCCTGAAAAAGTCATAAAGAAAGGGAGGAGGGGAGAAATGTTGTGTGAGAAGTCACGAAGTGCCTGCCCGGAGAGGAATGAGGTTTATCCTGAGCACCCCCGAAAAGGGACTAGAAGATGCCCTCGGGCGGTGTTTGTTGACGATAAATTGGGACTGCCAGGGAGAGGAATATGAATCTCTCCGTTGGGAGCTCAGGAGTCAGGGAAAAAAGGAAATAAGAGAAAAGTGGGCATTGATTAAGGGCTTGGAGGAGGTTAGGTTGGTTCAACGAGCTTCTGATTATATGACTAAGCCACTAGAAAAACATTTACGCGCTGCGCCTCATTTAGGCTAGGATACGATACCCTCACTACTTTACGTTTTACTACGTTACGATACGGTACTTACCAACTACGCTAGGAGCGACGTACGCGTGACTACGATACTTACCTACAACGTTCACCAAGAATAGTGTAATCTAGACTACGACGTGCTACGCTAAACTACGCGATGCGTAACTTGCGCTAACAACAGGATATGATATCGCCACGCAATAGCTTCGCGAAGCATGGCGCAGGCTACTATCCCTCAATTAGCAACTGACTACGCTAGATTGCGATACTTTGTTTTGCACTAGACTACGCTACGCCCCGTTACGCTAATGTTAAGCTACTTTCCGCTTGCTTATGTAGGGGAAGGACCATCACAAAATTGGCCGCGAGAAAGCCGTACATCACCCTTTAAAAAGCAGAACCAAGAAATAGCAAATTGAATTATAATTTATTTTATTAGATTTATTAGTTCCAACTTCCAGATCAGGCTAAACATCTTCGACGAGGACAACGTCACCTCACACGAAGTTGATGATACCCCAAAATTCACCCTAACCTTCAAAATGGATCTGAACAACGTGACGACGCTCTCCATTGGCGACACCTTCATCTCGTGCCTAAATCCACTCCCCACGTGAGTAGACAAATGTAATCTGTAAGCAGCCGTGTACCCCCGCCGTCTTTTTGAGATATTGGAAGTAATCAAGCATGAATTCCGCGTAAATCCTGATGACACTACTAATCCCGGCACTAAGGCACAATAAAAATCCCGTTGTTTTCCAGGGCGGCCCATAATTTGGAGGCCGTGGCCAGCAGTTCTTATCTGGAGCTGGCCGTTCGGGTGCCAATTTCCGGGAATTCCCGCATATCCCCAGCACAATGCCAATTAGGCGCACGTCAACAAACACAGGACTTGAAGCGATATGTGAGTTTACATCCGATAATAGGATAACGTGGGTTTAGTGTAAATATGATACGTTATTCTACGAATCCGGTGCTACGTTCCAGCCTGGGACATGCGAAAACTGTTTGTGCGAGAATGGGAGTGTCACTTGTAAATTTGAGTGGGTTTTGGAGCACGCTGACTTTGCTTAGGTTTGGGCTTAGACCTATGCCTATGCTTAGGTTTAGGCTCACTCTGAACTCAAGGAAAGTTAGGTTTAATTTTTTCATTCGTTTTAAAGGTCAAAATAACTGTAAGCCGTGATGTAGCATATTTTTTTACTTGACAACCCTCCAAATCCGCTCCTTTTTTAGGTCCCCGGTCCCATGTGACGACACGACCCCCGAATGGCTTCGCGGCTGTTGCAATATTGTGGAAAAGAGGGATTTTTGCGCCAAGAACCCCTGTTCACCAAATGCAAATTGCACGAATCTGATCGATCGGGCGGATTGTGCTTGTAAGGAGGTCTGTAAAAATTTGCTTTTACATATCGGTTGAAATAAGAATACTACGGTAGCCTGGGTTAAAGCCGGCATGATTTTAAAATGAAGAATAAAGATCCTATAATCAAATTATCTAATTCACATGTTCGTATCGCTCAGGCAGGGGTAAAAACTCGGCATCTCCCAGTCCGAGCTGTCAATAATCCAGGGTGCGGGTCTGTGATATCCCCCAGCCCTGCCCATCGTCCCCATAGCTTCTGTGGCGCAATCGGCAGCGCGTTCGGCTGTTAACCGAAAGGTCGGTGGTTCGAACCCACCCAGGAGCGAATCATTTTGCTTTTTGGGGAATCGTTTTTGAAAGGCCATACAATCTATTTAAGCTAATTTTATATTCCTCGGCGTTCCAATGTTTCCGCGTGCGCACACCAATCATATGCGTTTTTTTGTCTAGCCTGCTATTTCAGGGCTTCATCGGTGACGGCTTCAAATGCGAAGACATCGACGAGTGTTTATTCAACGATGAGGCAAAGGCACAGGTTTGTCGCAACAAGTTGATATCTAATTTTATTTTTTAGCTTGGTGGATGCCTCGTCGGGACTGCCTGCGTAAACCTGCCGGGTTCCTTCAAATGTGAATGTCTTCCGGGGCATCAAAGAATGGACGAGCGGCTGTGCTTGGACGTGATTAGAATTTAGATGCTTTTTAATAAATTATTGACAGGTTTTGCAAGACAACACCAATTATGACGCTACAAAAATGGGATTAGCTACACATGGAGACGTAAAATTTAAGACGTGATGCGTGATTTTTCTAATCGTGAACTTCTTGATAGTGCCAATTTGTCGCGTCGAGGGCCGAAATGACCAATAGCAGGTCTGAAGGATACCATTTTGATGTTGGAAACATACAGCTGGTGAAAGGGAGAGGCTAGGTATAGGTTTAGGATTAGGTTTAGGATTAGGCTTAGAAGCAAAGCCATCCCAGTTAATTCCACCAAAACCGGATCCTCAGGAATTTGACCTGAGATTACGTCACGGTGATAATATACCAAAACACTGTCACCCTGCGACAATTAGTCAGGGGATCGGCCCAGACCCCAGGGTGTGGCCCATTCCACCCCCTTGAAGACCATTTGCAAAAAGCGGCGAGTCTCGGCATTTGGCGGCGCCGAGGCAATAATTGAAGGGCGATAAGAGGCGAATTGTCCCTCCGCTCGGATAGGAGCAACCCGGAATTTTGTGCGATTGTTGGTCCGACGAGGGGTCGAATAAAACTTTTATGGATTTCCGGCGCCAGGGGAGAAGGAATCTCGGGAAGAAACAGTCTTCTAATTTTCGGGCGCGCTTATGTAAATTCAGATTGGAAAACGCGCATTATGTTTCATCCCATTAAAAGCCCCAAGAGGCTTTCTAATAATTAGATGGGCTTTAATAAAAATAATTTTGTGGCATTTATAAGGAATACAAGTTCCCTGCCATAAAAAATTATACATCGTGATGCGCGATTAAAATTAAAAAAGCAGCGCAAAATTGACCGATGTAAAACCTACAAATTTTGTTAACGCATTATTTATAAACGATTAGGATTTTAGAGCCAATCAAAACGAAAAGCTTCTCGAAGTCGAAGAAGCAACATTGGCCCGTTCAGCGCAATTCTTGTCGTACACCGTAGTCGTTCAGCGATTTTCGAAAGATGGCAACGGTTCAGAATTTCAAGCTCTATCCGATGAGCCGTGCCCTGTCACAAAATTCCGCCGCGCAGAAAAAACTCTCCTTCGTTAGAAGGATGCCGATCTTGAAAGGTATTGGAAGTAATGTCGTAGAGTCAAAGCAAACTCAAAAGATTCAACCCCACCTACTCGTTCAAATTCCAACTAGACACAAAATCTAAATCGAGCGCCGCGCCGCAGGAATTTTGATGGCACATCGTAAACCGTGCACCCCATCCATCAGGCTTCGGCCCGAAAGTGGGGGGGGGGAGCCACTAAATTTTCCGGCCACTTATCGCCGGCCCGAAACCGGGGGGTCGGCTTTTCCTCAACCCTCCATCTCGGGTCACCGGGCTGTTCTTCTGAATTTCCGAAAAAGCCGAATGGGAGAGAGGGGGGAGCCTAAGCTGAATATCATGTTTACGGGGTCGTAAAGCTCTGGCCGGGGGTCTTATCAAGGAATAGAGGCGAAAGCGAGCGGGGGATGGAACTGGCCCATTCGGCAATTCTCCATTCAGGGACCCCGGCAAAGATCGATCCTCTTCTGACTTGCTAGAGGAACGGACGGAACGACGCGGTGACTGGTATTCCCTATCTTGCGTCAATATTTTTTGGGAGGAGCAGCTTTATTTTCGCAAGGTCTCGCACCACGGCACAGCGACAAATAGGATCCGGGTATGTATTTGGAGATGCAAGATTTTTTACTGGATTTTTCCTGGTTTAGTCATTTTTTAAAAACCGGCTGTAGCAGACCTAAAAACGGCTTTACCAATTAGGCCATCTAATTTATGCATAGTTCAAATAGTTGTACGTTTTCAACACTATTACTGCTTTTACCTTTTTCCTACTAACGTTTTGCACTTTTTACTTTTTACTCATCAAAAAGCTAAACTGCGCAGACACAAAAATTCCGATTTTCTTGACTTTATTGGCGTTGAATCGATTTTTGACATTTTCAGGAATGTACGAACCGTCGCCAGATTACGGATTTGCCGACGCACATCCAGTTTATTATTACCAGGAGGAGGAGCAGTACGTGCAAAGGCCAAAAATACAAGAACGACCTCCGCAGTATTTGCAAAAACCGCCTCATTCCTATGTACCCGTAAGTTAACATCTTTTTATTCTAAGTCCTCTACATCGCGAAATTCTTGATTTCGACTTGCGAAATTCCTCTCTTCCTTTCTCCCCTCCTTTATTTTTCTAGACCATTCAGCCTATTCAGAATCTGAGGTTGGCTTCGCCTGATCAATCTAGCTTTTCAGCTAACCCCGCCAAAGCCAAATCTACTCCCCGCCTTCGATCAAGACCGTGGCGTAAATGTAGACAACTACAGATCAGCTGCCACCGACCACATCAAGCAGATCGGCGTTCCGGTATTACCGATGGGCCAACCCGCAACCGCTGGAGTGGATAGTTATGGTATGCTTCTAAAATCTTACCACAAAAATTGATCTAGGCATCGTGCCCCCATCCCAAAACAAGGCCTACCTACAGCATTTGAAAAACCATCGGAATTTCGACACAATGAAGAATTTGCAGAGTGTGAATGACTGCCAGATTTGTCAAATGTTTTTGGCGGCCGAGGGACATCAGTGGGTGTTTAAAGTCAAAAATGCATCTCTAAATCGCTCGTTTTCATTAGCTCAATCTTTTTCTGTCTCTCGCTTTCTCTCTCTTCCTCTCTCTCGCTCTGTATTTGTCTCTCGCTCTATCTCTCTCTCATTTCAAAGAATATAATTCGGTTGATTATATATAAATTATTCCCTTTTGTCAGGCTCTACCAACCGCCTCCTCCTAAACCAAGAATGAATGCTTTGGCAGTCCAGATCCCGAGCGAGCCGGATTTTGACTACTTACCCCCTTCGATTCCTGCACAAAATCACTTTGCGGCTCCGGTACAAAACGGCTATTCCGGTCCGGCACAAAACGGATATGCTAATCATGCACCTTATCCGGAGGCACAATCGAATATGATGCCCTCGCCGCATCAGCCACAACCGGCCGGAATTTTTGATGGACTAGTGGATGCGAGACATCGTTCACGCGTGCATGTGTAGGTTTCTTCGCTTAAAATCTAAATAGAGGCTTTGTATTAGAACAGAGAATCTTTTCTCAATTTTTTAAGCATTTGCTTCTACGAAATCCATAGATACGTTAAATAATTCCCATAATTCAGTAAGGACATCTTCACAGCACCTTCCAACCCTCATCAACTTCACCCATCCAACGGGCACTCGGATCCGGCTCCGAACGGATACTCGCCACGACTTGTACACCAAAAGTTAATGATCCCGGCACCGGATTATGACCGGACGCTGGGAGCAGCAGCTGCAGCTCAGGTTCTGGCACGGCAACCTCAGATACAGGAGATTAGGTGAGTTTTGGCGGATCTTCGTTATGCTTAGGCAAGCTGTGAAAGCCGAATATAAACATGCACCAAATTATAGTGGCAAGAAGCTGTCGGGGAGCAGTGATTCTTCAAGTCGCAGTCAACCGAAAGCGGAAATTGCCACTGGCCCGCCATCAATCAAGGAGGAAGCAAAGGTCGAGAAGGTAGGCTGTGTCCTAAAATCGGAGCCTTAAGACTTTGAATTATTGCATTAAGTTTATACTTTAGTACCCAGAAGCCCGCGTAACAAAGGACTACAAAACACGAGGCGAGGGCGACATCACGGTCAAGAAGAATGATGTCCTTGAAGTAAGTTAAAGTCATAAGTATCGATAGATATTGTTATCACCTTGACTTAAAAACCGATGGAATCGACACTTTTGCATTACTCGGAAGTAAAATTTAGTGTACGCAGCCTTATTGATAACGTTTTATTTACTTTTTCTAAATTTTCTCTAGCTCACGATTTCAAGGTCCTAAGAAATTGAAGATGTGGAGTAAGTATCCAAAGAAATGACAGCTCGCATTTTAGGTCCTCGAGTCAAACAGCCGCTGGTCAAGATGCCGAACCCTCGAAGGCATGGTCGGCTTCGTCCCCAACAAATATATCAATCTCCACCAATGAGCCCATATCCCGAGTCCCATCTCCTTTGAATTTATCCAAAATATATATAATAAAACCACACAAGTACAAGCAATCAATCACAAAAACCGGAAATTACAAACAACAATACATACCTATCGACATTAATTTAACGCACAGATGTAATACTGGGGCAATGGGCAGGCAAAGGTTGTCATGTGGGAAATGTTACACTATCATCAAAAATTAAAGTCATGTAAAATCACAATTAATAGGTGGGATGCGGGGTAAAAGTCTGGTTTTGAATGAGTCTGAATGACAAGCTCAAATTAGGCAGCTTCACGCGTTAAGGCAGCTCCCTTCAAAATTAATCCAAATCGTCAAAACCTTTTCATTGAGTGGATCCGGTGAAGAATCCAGAGTAATTGGTCGTCGTACCATAGGATGTGGCGGGGTATTGATTAGCATAGTATTGGTAGGTTGGGTCGAATACCTGAAAACGACCATTAAAACCGTGCCTAAGCGTTTATTGAAATCTCTTAAGGTCCCTATGGCTTACCTGCGGATAGTAGCTTGACGGATAAAACGGATAGTAGCTATTAATCGTCGCTGTAGTACCCGACAGCGACACCGGAAGGGTTGTCTGCGAGGTAGCAGTTGTGTGAAGCGCCTGAATTATCAATTTTGAATTGTGGTAAATTAGCTTCTTTGACTGCCCGTTGCCGGCAAAAAATTGTGTCTCAAGCTCCACCTACCGTATTCTCGCTGCTCGTGCTGCTCCAAGAATTGTCGGCCTGGCTGGTGTTGTTGTTAGGAGACGGATTTGTAGATAGGCTCGACTTCAGTGGGGACAACGTCGCCAAGGCGGGCTTCGAATCAGCGGTGCTAAAATATAAGAGAATCATTTACCATTTTCAGATGTTAAAATCACTCAGCATTCCGGATAGACCTAAGCAAAAGCATTCTTTGCGTTCTATGATTTAAACTTTGATAGAAAACTCTGGGTCGCTTATTAAGACAACAAACCACAGGAAAAAACGTACATATCCAAATTTGTCTGTATTTGCGGATTGTAGTCGTTGCTGTGAGGAGAGTCGGCGAGGTCGGTCTTGATTTGCTGAAAAATCACGCGTTTCCCAAGATTTGAGGAGCCCCTTTGTTTGTCAGGCGTCATGGGAAATAGATTTCGTCGAAGAGTTTTTTGATCT